ACTTATAAATAAAAACGATTTATTATTTTCAATAAAAACGTGAAACACTGATACAAATTTATTTTTCTTAGATATGTTTAATTGCATTGTGTAATTTTATATATTATATAAAATCTATTAAACTATTTAAATACTATATGATTGTGAGCAATCTCGTGGATTTAATTAGAGATTCGATAACTCCTTATTTTTTATCGAGATATCTGAAGTTTTAAGCAAAATAATTTTTTTGAAAATAACTCTAATCTAATTATACTATTGTTAAAAGTTATACATTGATATATTCAGAAGATATATATAACTTCTGAATATAGAAGAATTAGCGGTTTTCATATACATGTACAGTGATGTACGGTATGTTGACAAATCTAAAACCTTTTGATTCAGTATATATTTTTATTACTTTTTTTTAAATACTTTATGCATCTTAGGCTATGTTGAAATCATATTTTTATTTGATTATGGTAATGAAAAAAGTGTATATTTTTTTTACAACTACATCTTTTTAATCTTTCAAAATAGCTATTTGCAAACTTTTACTTACAAAAATATTTGATAAGTCGATAAAAACCTTAAAATAAGTACTTATTGAGTTACAAGCATTTTAATATATAAAGTTATTATATAGCTCAGGCGAAGTGCACATAAGAGATGTACACACACGTCTCTTATTTGCACTTCGTCTGCGCTATTCTACCCATTCTGTGTATTTAAATACTTGTAACTCAATAAGTACAAATCCTAATGGTGATACCGACCTATCAATATTGTTTGTAAGAGAAAATGATTGCTATTTTTAAAATGTTTAATTAAAAAAAAATTTAATATTTTTACTATTAAAAACACATTAACATAAAAAAAATTTAAGTTATTTTTATTCTGTAAGTAGTTGAGTGGATTATGATAAAAAAACCCAGCACAGTGGAGTCGCGGCATAGTGGGGACGTTGCATAGTTGGGTCCAGTATAGATTTAATCTGACAGTGATTAAAATCACTATCATAAGAAACGCTTCGATGCAAATCAGTAGGTAGTGTTTAATTCTAAGAAATTGGTGGATAATTACAAAAGCTACATTATCTGCTAGTTTCTTATTAATACCCTGATTAAGATAAAGTATGTCGAATGAAAAAGGGATTATTAAAAAATATTATTTCTCATAAAAAAATTGTGTTGATTCGTACACTTTTCAATGAGTTATAGCATTATAAAGTTAAAAATGTAACCAACCCAACCCAACATCAACTCCTATTTCCTTAATTATATCCAGATTAGTAATTATTTTAATTATATATTATATAATTTTTATAATTAATTATTTTCAAATTATTATTGATTTTTAATATGTTAAAAGTAATCATTTTGAACCTACTTCTTTTTGTTCTTTAAAGTGAAAGTTTTAATAAAAAAAAAATGAATTTATTACCATAACTTTTAACTCAACTTGCAAGTTTGAAATAAATATTATTAAATAGAAAAAAATGAAATTGGTAGATTATTTCAAAAACAACAATAACACTTATTCCCTTAATTTTACCCCGATTTATAACTATAATATATGAATACATAATAATTACAGTAATTAAATTGAGTATGAAAGTGGTATTCAATAATATAATATTGTAATTTTTACGGAGATATTATAAAAATAAAAAGGAGTTGTATATTCATATACTTTTAATGCGTATACAAATTTAAAGGAATTTATGCAATACTTTTTAATAAAAAAATTTTGTTACTTATGAATAAATACACTAAACAAAAGGAACTTTCATCAGAAAAAAAATATACTTTTCTAAATAAACTTTTCGTGATGTTTTCAAATGTGCAATTAAACTTTTTCTATTACTTCTAAGTTTTAATATTATTACTTATTATTAAAAAATAAGTATTTACATATAAAAAAAAATAATTAAGAACAAAAAAAATTGTATTAAATTAATACTGATTTTGATTTTTAATATGTTAAAGGTAATCATTTTGAACCTATTTTTTATTGTCTTTTAAAGTGAAAGTTTTAATGAAAAATACCTTCTCAGCTTCGCATCGAAGCTAAAAAATGAATTTGTTACCATAACTTATAGTTCAACTTGCAAGTTTGAAATTGACATTATTAAATTGAAAAAAATGAAATTTTTAAGATTAATATGCAATCTGGAAATTTTATAATTACTAATTACAGTACATTTGTCAGAAAAATTCGATTTTTTTACATTTTTATCGTAATAGATAACTGAAATAGAAAGAATAGTAATCATATCCTAATAACTTTTGGTGTTTAAAAAAATTCTGCAATTGAAATATTCAGAACTTAATTAATTTTAATAATTTACTTTAATTAAATGAACCAATCAAACCAAAGTAGTTAAAAAGATTTACTCAATTGAGCATATTATCAAAAATATAATTATAATTGTAAAACTCCATCGTTAACTTCAGGTGAAACTAAAAATCATTTTTTTTTTAAATTTATGATTTATATAGCAACATATTACTAAAAAATTTGGCATATTATAGACTGGTAGTAGCACACAGAAATAGAGTTAAAAAATTAATAAATTATAAAGTAAAATTATTTACTTTTGTAGTTGAATACTTTTATCATATCAAATTTAATTCGACAATAAATAATTTAAGAATATTAAAAATTAATGATTTTAATTGTTTGTATGGACAAATCTAGTTAAGCTACTTTTTATTTGAATAAGGAATATTTTTTTGATTTTTAAGAGTAATAACTTAAACTAATCATTAACTTAAATATCATAAACTTAAATGAATCATTTGACGTATCGTTGAAAAAAGTAGGTCTAGTGAGGGTTGTCAAAATAAATTGTAGCCACAAAAGAACCACATAGTAAAATAATATTAACATGAATATCAATTTCTTCTCAGGAGGGGAAACTATAGAGATAAGATCCTTTATATTTATTGAAATTATTGAATCTAAATGAGATAAATATCAAATGATTTGAAATTCTATTTTAACTCAAAAAAAAAATGCAAAATTTTGGTAATCACAGACGGATGTGAACCTCGTACCCTAGGTATGAAAGATCAAGATGTTACCCATTCGGCAACTGTTCGTTGCTTCATGTTGCATGATAAAATTGGCTATTTAAGCTAACTCAAATTTAAAAATTACTTTTTCGACTATAAAAAAGTAAAAAAATTAAATAAGTATAATATCATATGTCTTATGAACTTTATTCTATGTCAATGAAATTATATAATATTCATGAAAGTCAGTTTATTCCCCTAATAAAATATTTTAAAATAAAATAAAATACAAAACCTAGAATTTTAATAAAAAATAGCATATTTTTAAATACGGTAGCCTTTTGCGCATAGAAGATAGGTCGTCGGGACAAATTTTTTTTTTTCATTTAGTAGTACATAAAATAAGCTTTAATTTGATATATGTTTAAAGGACGCAGTATTTCCGGAACATTTTCAAAAATTAAGTTGAAAAAGTTAGTTTTTGTAAAAAAGTTGCTATTTTAAATCCCCCCTGTGAGCAGAATAAGTGTTAGATTTTCAAAAAAAAATGATATCAAATGAAAGAAAATTACCTAAGGTTTCAATATAAAGAAATATTATTTTGATTAGTTAATATTTGAAAAAGTTATGGCAGTTTTAAGTACAAAAAACATCGTTATAAAAGGTGATTTTTATCGCAAATATTACATTTTTTTTATAATTTCGACAGCCATTTGCACATAGAAGATAAGGTGTCGGGACAAATTTTTTTTTTTCATTTTATAGTACATAAAAAAAGCTTTAATTTGATATATGTTTAAAGGACGCAGTATTTCCGGAACATTTTCAAAAGTTCAGTTGAAAAAGTTCTATTTTTTATACAATGTTTCAAAGTTTGAACCCCCCCTATATAAGGGGAAATTGTCTAATTTTAATAAAAAGTATGTCAAATGGAAGATGTACTTATAATGTATTTAGAAAAAAAAAAATTGTGCTGATACATGCATTTTTCGAAAAGTTATAGCATTTTTAAGTTGAAAATTAAAAATTGAAAATCGAAAATTTTAACACAAAAATAGTGTTTTTTTAACTACGGCAACCGTTTACATGCAGAAGATAAAGTGTCGGGACAAATTTTTTTTTTTCATTTTATAGTACATAAAATAAGCTTTAATTTGATATATGTTTAAAGGACGCAGTATTTCCGGAACATTTTCAAAAATTAAGTTGAAAAAGTTAGTTTTTGTAAAAAAGTTGCAATTTTAAATCCCCCCCCATGAGCAGGTTAAGTGTTAAATTTTCAAAAAAATTATATCAAATGAAAGGAAAATATCTAAGGTTTTAGTTTAAAAAAAAATTATGTTGATTTGTTGATTTTTGAAAAAGTTATGGAAGTTTTAAGAAAAAAAAGTGAAAAAAATGACAAAATTTGTCGATTTTTAAATTTGTAATTTTTTTGGATATTTCCCCCATTTGCGGGGAACGAGGGAAAATTTTTAAATTTTTAAGGGTAATGTCTTCAACTAGATACAATTTGTGATCTTTTGACGTATTGTTAAAAGAAATCGGTCCAGTGAGAGCTGAGAAAAAGTAGTGACAGACACAAAAAAAAATAAAAATAAAAAAAAAATAAACACATCATGGTAAAATTAATACCTTCTCAGCTTCGCATCGAAGCTAAAATTATTTTTAAAAAATGCAACGCACATCTGTTAAATGTTATTTGTATAATGTAATATTTGCTGCATTAAAAGTTATTAGATCTGTCAAAACATTATGGTCTACTTTGTATAAGAGAATATTGAATATCAAATTTTTACTACTCTTGGGATTCCTTCCTAAATACATTTCAGCCTACATTTAAGTGAACCATTATAATCATAATATTTATTTAATAACAATTATAATATTTGTGGTTAATTATATTGCATTTTTTCATAGTATTTTAACAATGATATATTTTATTACAATTAGCTTTAAATAAGAATAAATAAAACATCAGTTCATTTACAGTAAATTTTTAATGAGATAATTCATAATTTTGAAAAAGTACATATTAATACAGAACTAAGGTATACAATTTAATGAGTATAAAATTACTTAAAATATACTTTACAAACTACATAACGACTTTAATTTAATGATTATCATTAAACATTATGCTTGAGAAATTTTTTGTTACAAATCGCCCGAAAAATGTACATTGCACATTTATTAAGTGCTACATAAAGTTTCTACATTTTTTTTTACAAACAACTAATAACATGAAATGTTATAAATATTAATTAAAATATTACTATTCGTATAAAATGGCTAAAAAATATGTATGATGAAAATCAGTAATATAACTACAAGTATTTAATAAAATCATAAAAAAGTTAGTTTAAGGTAAAATAGTATAAATATGAAAAAAATGTTATTATAAAACATATAAAAAGTAATATGAAATAAGACAAAAAATATTTTTGTACAAAATCAGTTAATTTACACGTAATACATAATGTTATGTTATCTTTAGTCAATAATATTGAAAATAATAACTTAACAATTGATTATAATATGATGCTACATAGCTTCTTTATGGTATTATAGAAATTAAAAATAATGCAATAGTATACTTAATTGCATTTTTTTTAAAATGTTTATATTCAAAAATAATAATGCGTTCACAGAACGTACGAATTGAGACAATATATCATAGATATATGGGACCGAAACACTACCTTAATACGCGCATACTCTATTTACTATTAGAGGAGCTTTCGATAAGTTCAAGAACGTATTTCAGGTAGTTTAATTTAAAAATAAGTCATAAAAGTGTTGCACATAAATATTGTAAATGGACTGTATAAGTTATCTAAAGATATTAATGAAAACTTTGCCCCCCAATTATACACCCCACGGAAAACACTTTTCCAGTAACCTGGATTTAAATTGTCCCGTACAATTCAGTCCATTTACTTTAAGCCTAAAAATATATTTACAAACTGCTACATTCTATGACCCGGTTGATGAGCAAAAAAATTTACAAGTGTGACTGTATGGAACCCAACTCGGTGGTACGGCGAAAATTACCTTTCGCTGCTAAAATCCACGGCTAGTTCCACTACACACAGACCCACAATTGCTTATGGCGACATTTCTGCGGCAACAACATTTGTGGTGGTACTGTTGGAACAAACCGTGGACGGCGAACCACTGTACGGGTGACAAAATTGATAGACAAGCCTTTGAGAGCGTTCCGTCTTCTTCATGATGCCTTTCTTGTAGTACTGCCGTATACTCCGGGACAGTTTATCGTAATTCATTGCAGGCCTATTTTTCCGACGACCCCAGAGTTTGGCAACAGCGACTGAGTCTTCTATCTTGAAGACTCCCTTGGGCCGATCCAACCACCTTATGATAGTCGATGGAGTTTGTTTGCCATCTTCGGCGGATGACTGGAGACCGTTTTGGTCATCATACTGTTGCAAAAGCTCCTTAAGAAATTGCCATAGGTGTATGTGATGGTGATGGTGTTGTGTGCTAGTACCCGAAGAACCCGAGACAGAACCGGAAGATCTGGTGGATGACGAAGATGGCGAAGTGGCTGCTGTTGTTACGTAGAATTCATCGTCTTCATCCTTATCGCAATCCGTAGACATCACGTTGTCATTTTTGTCCAACATGGACATCGTTAAGGTACCTGTGAAAATTGGATACACTGTAAATATAACGAGTACTATCATATTACAATTAAATAATCATAAAATAATTAATGAAACAATACCATGTAACCTATTTTTGGCGGATTATAACCAGAAAATTTATCTGTTATGACTATACTACATTTTCTCATTTATACAGTGCAAAATTTAAAGCAAAAATATATAAATAATTAAAAGAATAAATTATAATTAATATTTACAATTTGGGTCATTAAAATATATTATATTTTAATTACTCACAACAGACCATTCAACATATAGTATATTTTATTGAGTAATACAACTATAAAAGAATACACGTAGGTGTATTTTAAAAACAAGATTGACCAGTTTTTATTAATTACCTTTCGAGAATTAAAATTTTAAGGAGTGATGCGTGAACCCTAAGGTTAGTAAAATAGTTATACTACTAGTTTTTTTCGTATTAGAAAATAAATTTAGTAAAAATATTGAGAACCGGTTGTTAATAATTTTTAAATGAAAATGGTATTTTTTTTTTTTGATAAATTAGCTCATTAATATCCTATTTAATAAATTGAAATAGTTTATAGGCTTACTTTAAAGGTAAAAATTCTGGATTATCTACTGAAAAATTGTTTGTAAACAGAAGTTTTGTAAATGAGACTAGTTTAAGTCATTTTTTAATTTTTTATGTTAAAATCATAGAAAGATTATTGAGTTAACGAACCTACGTTCAACTAATTTCAGAACAAATAAAAGTAGTTTATTCTAATGTTACAGTTCAAATCTAAAAGGCAATTTTTTGTTATCTAAGGTTTTTTATCGCTGTTGACATACTAAAATAATATTCTACTTTATTTTATTTTCCATATAGTGAAATTATTTTTTTCTTTTCAACCTAAGTTGCTACTCACTTGAAGTGGAAGAAGCTGGAGAAATAGATCCGAGTGAGGACAGAGAAGTCGTTGTCAACATAATGTCGTGCTCGTTATCAACACGCTGACGTTTCAAGGGTGGTTGCTGTTGTCTGTCCACCGATGTAGTATTTCTTTTTTGTCTGTGGTCATCTTCTTGCTGCTCTTGTTGGAGCAGAAGAGATTTCCACATATCCATTTGAGCTTCAAGCCGTACATCGTCCTTATTAGCCTAGACAAAAATTGTACCAATCACGTAAATTAAATGGAATATATAAATCACGCGTGAATTTCTACTATTATTAAATTTATTTATAAAATTGTATTCATTAGGTCAATTTAAGACGAAATTGAGTATAAACAACACATCCTCTAATTACAAAAAGACAGAAAGTAAGCACAGTAATAGGGAGTGTATATAGCAAGTGAGAGGTCAGTATGTGTGTTGCTTTCACCGGTCAACATTGTAAGCAGCTTGTAAAAGAAATTTCATCGCCACGAAGGCGATGAACGTTTGTGGAATTTATAATATTGGAATAGCCACTTGCTGGTTTTTTGCAAGGTCACGCAACATACGACCAATAAGAATAATTATTATTCATATAAGTCTATTGCTTGTGGGTCGCTGTAGGTGTGATTATACATATATGTTGGTCACAAAAATAAAAAAGAAAGTCAATTAAAAAATTAGTCATGGCTTCGAATCGACTACATGAATCTTTAAAATTTAAAAGTTAAAACTTGCCTAATTTATTTTAGTTCTTCTAATGATAATACTTTTATTGGATCGTTAAAATTTTCAAATAATGGTCAAATTGTCAAATAATAGTTCTCATTGTTTAACAATGTTATGTTTACAAATTTTAAAAACAAATATAAGAAAAAATTGTTTTTTAATAAAAGTTTTAAAATATAATATTATTTAGTTGACATTATATATTTCAGTTTTAATTTATATTTGTAAAATTATAATTTTTAATATACTATCAAGTTTCTGTGGTTTAATATTCTACAATAATTTTAATTTTTTAAACATAGAAAATTACTTAAAAACATCGTTATTAATAAAAATATGAAAATCGATAATTTTTTGGCAATACCAATTACCCCTTCATAAAAAATCCATATAATAGGATGAAGAAAATAGCTAGAAGAATTATGATGTATTAGTCAAATTCAGAATGTAATAAAAATAAATTCAATGACGTCAAACTCGTGATATTTTATTAGTTGATATAACATAAGTTATAAGTATAACAAGATATTAAGAACTACGCCTCAACGAAATACAATGGATAAATAGACATAATTACAGATTAAAACATTTATTAAGTAAGCTTATAAAAGTGTTACTATTTGCAAATCGATTTATACACATACATGTTTATTGTTGCAAAGTTCTTTGTATTGTGATATTGGCTAACAAATATGTAAGACCGCGCCCATATTTTTAACCACCCACGACCTTGACATTAGTAATATTAAAAATTATTATGAATAAAAAAAACAAAATTTCATATCCATATCATTGTAAATGATAAAGTACGATAAACAAGATAAAATAATTTGAGATTAAATAAAAAAAGTTCATAATTATAAAATTATTCGTTTGGAATTTACGAGTCTAGTTGAAAAATTTCTAATCGAAATCGTTGTTCTTCTTGCGTAATCAAAACACTGTAGTTGATGACGTCAACGCGATTAACATTATTTCACTCTCATGGAAAAAATTAGGATATGAAAAAACACTAATCGAACGAGTATGCCTCTGGACAGTTGTTGTTGTGTAAAATAATAATATGCGAGTTCAAAACTCGTTTCCCCTGTAGGAATGCGGCGATGATCAAGTTTCTCTTCCATTATGGCGCCCAATAAAAAAGTAGATGTAATATACAATTAAAGATGCTACTGTTTTGGTATATTCCTTTGCTATTTACTATTTATTTTATCACTCTATAAAAATAAATTATAAATTCAAACACTTACTTTATTTAATGGTGACATAGAACCATCTTGTTCCTTAAAAACGTTGTCTCCACCAAACAAAAGACCATCTACCAAAGCGGCGGCGTCATCAAATAGCACTTGGTCTAGTCCTCCGTTTTGTTGAGGAGAAAGGGATGGTACTGTCATATCATGAGTTGAATGTTTGCTATTTTGATGGCTCCATTGTTGTTGTTGTTCAACTACTTCCCATAACCGAGAGTCTGTAAAATTACAAAACAAATTAATCAATTACACTAGAAAAAAATAGCGTAAAGATTATTTACCTTTTTGCGAGTTAGACTTCTCATCATTACCAGTGGGGACTCCTTGGTCAGGAGAATACAACAAGAGTTCAGCTAAGTCAGAAACCGCTGTGCTACTAGATGAAGCAGTTGAAATTAGAGATGTGGACCCTACAGAAGGAGTAGTGGATGCGTCATCTTCAATTGTTCGATCTTCAGTTGAACCTTTTAGCATTTCAATCAACAATTTATGACTAGAAGCTTTAATTGAGTCTGTAGATTGCAAGATTGGTTTTGTTTCAACATCATCATCACTAGTAGTAGATTGTACTGCCAGTTCTTCCTTAACATTACTTTCTAAAAGCGATCGGAGTAACACAGATGATGACTGTGGTTTGGTACATTCAAGAGAAGATACAACTGAAGTTGGTTGGTCTTGAACAAACCATGTACAATTGACATTGTACGTGACTTCTGGAGGACTTTGTGGAGAAGATGATGTAATAAATGTCGATGGAGACCGTGAGGTAGTTATATCGTCGACTTCTTCCTTAATTTGGATAGCAGCGGTTGTAGTAACTGAAGTCGTATCAGAAGAAGTCTTAAGCATATTTTGATATTCTCCAGCTGCAACTTCGGAGTTACAGTAATCGTCATATAATGAAAGCAGTTGTGTAAGATCGAGTGTGTCTAAAGTATCAGCTCCAGTATAACAATTTGATCCATTGTTGTAGTTTGTTAATTGACTGAGTATGTCTTGTTGGTGCTCAAGAACTTCAGTTGTAGGTACGCGACCATCTTCAGAGGATGTAGGTGGTTCAGCTGCTGGTTGAGGTAATAGTAGAGACAAATCAAAGTTATCTAAATCGGCAGCTGAAGTATCAGCAGTAGAAACACTATAATCGTTCAAATTTTGTGGCTGCTGCTGATTAAGATTTATATGGCTTGAAATGGAGCTCATATAAGAAGGCGGTGGAGGTGTTACACACCAAGAATTTTGCATAGATGCAATTTTAGGTACAGTTTGAGCCATAATTTTCTATGAAAAAAAATGAATTGATAATAAAAAAATAAATGATGTTGATTTATTTTATTGAATATTTAGATTTTATGAAAGAGAATAGAGGGGTACGCAGTAGAGCGCGATTATTTTTTTGGAGTGGGAAAGAATATTTGGCCGATGAATAACAATAACCGACGGCAGTCGGAAGAGGAAAAACAAGTTATAATAGTATGGCGTCGCTGTGACACAGTTTCACAGTCTTTGCACGGTTCTCTCTCTTCTTAATGCCATTATACAGCGACCACAGGGAATACCCGTGCGTATGGAGAGAGAAAGAGTAGACGTTTTCATAGGTGTGGTATACATTGAAATATAGCGGAGGAATGGATTGTTGGTGAAGGGGAGAGAAATAAGAAAGAAACTAATGTAGGGTACGATGACGTGTCTCCCAATACCCACTATTAAAGTCTCTGCAAAGAAAATCTCCTTTGCCTCTTTATTATGACTAATTATACTAAATATTTAACTATGTGATAAAAAAGTCATTTATAAAATGTTTGGCTATACGTCGTGGTCCAAATAAAATACAAAAAAATGTAACTAATCCACGTACGATAATTATGCTTAATTGAGTTTATATTTAACAGTTTTTCATATATTTATTTCATACAAATATTTAAGTGAGTTTAATGCTTACATTTTCGTATCCAATCATTATTCCATTGGAAGTGGTTGACACATATATTTATATGGTTGTTCAAAAAGTTTTAGATATTAATTTAGATAAAACAGTATATATTAAAACAATCGTGTGGTAAAATTATGACACTTGAAAATAAACTTAAAAAGAAGTCTTATAGATTGCGCTCATTCAGAGTTAAAATTTGTTAAATCAATATGTGAACAAACTAAAAACACAAATAGACCGCTTCAAAATTAATACTGAATGAGAATTGAGATCCCAAGAGACACCATCGACCGTCTTGCGAACAACTCTCTCTTTTGGTCACGGTGGTGGTATGTTGACGCGCAAGCGCGCCGCATAGCAGTTTTTGTAAATTCTACGATTTACACGATGTAACAAATTAAACATATTCTCAATAAATAGTACAATATTTTTAGAAAAATAAAAATATATTTATTTATGAATTTTATGGTAAATTTTTTCTATTATACTTAAATAAGAACCGCCTATTGTAAGAATAGCTGCTAAAAATAGAAGTAAGATGTTTTTAATTTTTTTTTTCATAGTACAGTCAACTGTCTACATGATTATGGAAATAGACAGTATTAATACTGGAAATTCAATTGACCTCACTATTGAAACTAAAGGGCTGATATCAAAATTAATATTTGCTATAAATACTAGAAANTAAGTATGATACCTGTTGAGTAAATATTATACATGTTATAAGTATTCAAAAGACTTTTATTTTTTCACCTCATCTTTTGATGATTTCCCATATATATACAAGGTGGCCCACCACTCACTGACAACTTAAATAACTTTTGATCCAGTTAATATTTTTAGCTGATTTTTTTTTTTAAATAATAGTTATACGTTAGGTCTATAGCTATATCTCAATAATTTATTTTATTACATTTTATTAAAAATATTAATTATTTAAAATTTTAAATAAAATGTAAAAAAAAATTCTAAGATAGCTATTTTGTAGAGTAGAATTTAAGAAAAATTTTAGTAAAAAATATCTTATTAATATTCAGTAGTAAATATACTGTAGTGTTTCGAAGTTTGTGAAAATTTGAATTTTCATGTATTATTTTACGGTATTAAACATTGAAATACGTATTGAGAAAAGGACCGAAGAAAACGCTATCTTTTCATGATTACTATAATTTGGAGGTGTGTAACTTTTTCANCATTTTATTTAAAATTAAAAATAATTAATATTTTTAATAAAATGTAATAAAATTAATTATTGAGATATAGCTATAGACCTAACGTATAACTATTATTTAAAAAAAAAAATCAGCTAAAAATATTAACTGGATCAAAAGTTATTTAAGTTGTCAGTGAGTGGTGGGCCACCTTGTATATATATGGGAAATCATCAAAAGATGAGGTGAAAAAATAAAAGTCTTTTGAATACTTATAACATGTATAATATTTACTCAACAGGTATCATACTTAAAAAAATTACTATTACCACTAAAATAAATAAATATGAATGTATTGTAAAGTGTTTATTTGTACTAATTATTAACAATAATTAACAATTATTAACAAATGGAAATTTTTAAGTTTAATGTTTTTATTAATTTTAAAGCATGTAAAATTATAAAGTATTTCTACTAATTAATTAAAAATATTTAGTAGGGGAATATTTTATTAAAAATGTATTGAAAAATCTGATTTTTATTTTGATTCTCTTTTTGATTCCTCTGATTCTGTTTCTTATGTAGAGTGGCGTGTTTACATAAGATTACTTAATCAGGGCAACAGGGCGTAATAAACAAGGTGCTCTTGAGACTTTCAAGGGCGTAATAGCTGTTGAATCCATCAAAACTCGAGTAAATATGTATGTAATGTTACCTATGATTTATGTTCTTACATTTTAAATATATGAGTATAATAATAAAAAAGTATTTTTTTGTTGAAAATTGTATCTTAAATGTTTGGAAAGTTTACAGGTAAGTAGTTACTTACTAGTGTTTACTATTAACGAAAGTCGTATCCCATAATGTGATAACTTCTCTGGTTTTTATTCATTATCCGTATGATTCCCATTTTCAGTAAAATAATTTTTTTTAGTTATTAATTTTTTATTATTTTCATAACAATTCAGTTGTAACGGTTAATTAGAGACTGTAAATAAATAAAACTTCTAAAATTACTGATAGCTGTACAGAGTATGAAAACCTACGAACAGAAGAGTATTTAATTTAGTGCTGGAAACGTTTTATTAAATACATATGTATCTAATTTCTGTTAATCAATTTGATTTTGGCTAGACTAAGTGAAATTGAATCTTGCATATTATTAACATATTGGAGATATTCATCAAATTCCATTAGAAAATTCATTGATTATCATTGATATAAGTTGTGTGTACTATGGTTTTTCTACTAAAGCTTTGGGATTTTGCATGACGCTTCCAATGTGAAGCAGTTATAGTTAATGTTTGGAAATAAAAATTTATTAAGTAAGTAGAAAGAACTAAATTATTAATAAACTAATTGTTTCAATGCCTTCTTCCATAGCGCATAATACTGTAACGATAATTAGGGGCCATTGTGTAATGGGTGTTGGTATTCAATCTACTTCGACAGGCGACAATGAATTATTAATGGATTTAGTAACACTGGTTAATAATTTATCAGTAAAAATCAAATAATCAAATATTATATTAAATCCTAACAACATAAATATGTTTGCACCTATTTTAAATGGAACCAAACATTTCATTGAATGAATCTTCTTCAGTGGAATAACAACAAATGGATAATGTCAAATTTTTGAATATTCTTAAGTTTTAAAAAAATGTATAAAAATTCATGTTGAAAATAATACCAATCATTTGTAAAAAAAAACTTATAAATTAATTAAATTAATATTAACAGGTGTTTTATATAATTTTATTATTTGAGATTTTTTTTATCTTGTTTTCAAAAAGGTTTATGATAAAAATGTACATGAGAGGATTATTTTAAAAAAATCTTATTTGTAAAGTTAATTTAATCAAGTCATTAATTTTGATGTACATGGTCTTCAATATTTATAAACTTTCCTATAGTCGTCTTGAAAAACAAAAAAATACATGCTTAAAAATTGGTTCACACATGAAACTTTAGAAACTATCTCAATATTAATAAATTACAAATTTAAAAATCACTAATTTTCGAAATTTTTTCAATTTTTTTTTCTTAAAACAGTCATTACTTATTCAAAAATGAACAAATCAATATAATTTTTTTTTTATAGATGCTTGATATCTTTACCTATCATTTGGTATATTTTTTCATAAATTTAACCCTTTACCTGCTTACAGAAGGGGATTTTAAATGATAACTTTTTCACAAAAAATTAACTTTTTCAACTTAACTTTTGAAAGTGTTCCGGAAAGTCTGACACTTTTATAAATATCTTAAATTAAAGATAATGTAATGTACTTTATAATGAAAAAAAAATTCGGACTTTATTTTCTCTTCACGGTGAAAATGGCTATCGTATGCTATTGTTGTGTAAAAATTCTCGTTTTTGTATTTTACAATTTTAACTTTATTATGCTATACCTTTTTAAAAAATGTATGGATCAATACAATTTTTTCGTGAGAAGTAGTATTTATATACATCTTTCATTCGACATACTTTATCTTAATCAAGATATTAATAAGGAAATAGCAGATCATGTAGCTTTTGGAATAATCCACCAATTTTTTAAAATTAAACACTATCTAAGGATTTGCATCGAAGCGTTTTTTTTTATAGTGATTTTAATCACTGTCAGATATCATTATACTTGATCCAACTATGCCACGTCACCCCTGTGCTGGTTTTTTAAACACAATCTTGTAAAATTTACGAAATAAACTAGTCATTTTTATTAGAAACTATTGGTCATTTAACCTAAGCTCTCAGTTATTGCTTAATGTCATTATTTGCTATATATTTCGTTTATTGCTATATATTTTTTGTATTGTCTAAACACTTTCAAAATATTTGCATGATGAATTGTATATAACTTTCCTAGTTTAAAATGGACCACTTCCGTATCATTATTTGTTCTCTGTCTGTAATTTAACACCAAATCATACACATTCCACATTTTTGGAGAAAATTTAGGTAGGTATGTCGTTACAAAAAACTTATAGAGTATATTATTTGTACTGATGCCGTTTTTATAGTTAATGAAAATAATTTTTAACACTGGACTTGTATCTAATAGATAAATTTTTTTTTACGTAAATGGTCATTGGATTTTTGTTTATTATTTGTTTAAAACTATTGTTTTATGTAAGTTACAGAATAATTGCAATAAAAAGTAAATTGTTAAATAATATACTAAATTATTTAAGGCTAACTAAGTTAACTAAAGTAAAATAATTAAATGAGATTTATATTATTTTTGTATTTATAAAATTCTGTTACTTAATTCATAGGATAAAGTATTATTAAACATTTTATTTTAGGGTAAATACAAAAATTGAATAATGAGGGTAACATCAATTCATAAAATAATTAGATTATAAAATCTATAATTAAGATATTTAAGTTTAGCTACTTAATTTTTATTCATGAACTGAAATACTGTTTAGTATAAAATAATAAAATATATTTATTGATAATGTTTTGTTTACTTAACAATTGAAAACTTGATTACATTTTTTCTTGCAATTAATTCATGTTACTCTCACTTTATATATATATTATTCTTTTTTGAACTTTAATATATGTATATTTAAATACAATATAATGAATTTCAAGTACGTTTGTCAAGCTTACTATGCTAAATTAAGAGTAGTAAAAGGGAAATCCAATTGATAACGTTTTAATTATTGATTACATCATTTATTAACAGCGATTCAAACAGTTTGAACAGACCAGCTATCTATATATTACTTATTTCAACTCAATACTCGATTGACACCATGTATCTAATATTTGATAAATTGGATTAGTATCGAATATAATCATTAAAACATAAAAGATAACTACTAATTTGATAAAACCGTTTCCATCTTAAGTAACTCATTTTTTTTTTTTACAAAAATTACTTGTACGAAACTTGCTTTTATTTATAAAAAAAATAAGTTGGGAACTATGAATTATAATTATCATTATTATTTAAAACACTTTTACATTATTTTATTTCATTGATTAATGGTATTTTATACCATTAAAATATTACCTGATATCTTTTATGTAAACTTTATTAAGTTTCTTTCTAGATATAAGTTAATGTCTTTCTACGCAAAATTTTCATATTTAGAAGAATAGATAATATTAAATTATAAATATTGTAGATTGCAAGACCCACTATAAATGTTCTTCCCACTCCTATAGATTAGAACGATCATCAAACTTTAAAATTTCTTAAAATAATTAATTTGTGCTTCTAAGTAATATTTCAAAATTGTTTGTATGACAAAATTTATTATTAGATAATATAGTCAGTAAGAATAAACTTAATATGCACAAAAGTATATTGGATACTTATATTATTTAAGGTTTTGAATCGATAGAATAATAAAAATAAGCAGACATACAATTTATTTTAGATAATCATCATTATTAATAATTAACGAACATTAAGATGATAAAGACAATCTATTTTTTGGTACTTCTAGATTTTACTTTGGTTGATATCATCTTCTTTATCACCTGATACTTAATTTTTCTTTTTTTAATATTTGTATTAGATGTTTATAATGAATATACAAAATAATTCTCATGAGATAAATAATTGAAATAAAACAAATAAATTTTGATACAGTATCATCTCATATTTATAAATATTTAATTAATCATCATTAAGTTGATATATTTTTAACACAGTATATCTCGTTATATTGTGTTAAGAACACATCAACTATTAGTGAACAGCTAAGTTGTTGTTGAATTGTATTAAATATGCAATGAACTATAATTTTGAAGAATACAAGAGTTTATAAATATAATTTTTATTAGATATTGATTTAACTTCTGGAAGAGGTTATGTATTCATTTAGAATAATTTAAAAAAAATGTCGCAGAGAATGCAAAGAAAGAAAAGCTAAAACTAATTACATTAAACTACAAATGAAATAATGAAATACTGATGTTTTATTATTTTCATAGTTGTTTTTTGAGCTAAATCTATTGGTTATAAAGTAAAGAATTATTATTCTGAATGAACTGATAAAAATATAACATTATATATCATATTCTGGTCCTATCAAAAGATTTTTACTTCAACTTTAACGATTAATTAAATTTTGTTTAGTAATTCAACCCACTTATTAATGACATTTATCGGTAACAAGAATTAAATATATTCGTCATGGCAAAAACTTTATGGAAGAAAAATATGTCTTATTATAAAAGTTGAACAAATGGGTTATTAAATTATAGGATTTTATTGTTATGTTTTCATATAAAATATACAAATTATTATAAAATAAATTAAAGATTATATCATAAAACATATTAAAAAATGTATTATTACAATAAAAAATATTTACAAGCTATTGCTTATATTTTTATAATACTTAATTTAAAATTACTTAATACAATACTATTTAAAAAAATTATTACAACTACTTATAACTAAAAAGTTACATTTTTATACATAAAAATATTAGACAATAAATTATTATTGGTAACGTTAAACATAGCACCTTTTCAAGTAGAATTAAACACCAAAATTTGTTTAAAATCAAACACAAGAAATAAATTAAGCATATAAATATTTCTGTACATATTTTGTTTATGGTAACTATTATTGCTAAATAATAAAAAATTAAACATAATAGACTAATGGTGCATATATATTTTACAATGATGGACATAGGAATTTAGTCAAGAAATAAAAAAGGTAGAATTTTAATAGTGGTTTAGCGAAGTAAGTTGCTTAGCCACACTATTTTTTTAATCTAAAAAAAGTCTTTAATATTTATATAGAGCTTTATTTAAAATTTTACTCCAAAAAGCATACTAAAAGGTACAACAAAAAATATTAAAACCAAGTTTTAATTTCCTTATTTCAAATTAAAAAAAATATTCAAAGATTTGGGAAACCTATTTTTTTACCTTTTGTCACTTACGAGTCTATCTTTTATATCTCATTTAGTATATATATATATATGCTTAGTAAACACTATAATAATTTAAAACTTAATATAAAATTGTTAAAAACTAGCATTCTCAATACTTCTTAGGTTTGTGTTGAAGTTTTTACAGTATCATTCCATTAATTACAATCTTAAAATCAGTTATCGTGTTTACCAGAAAATTTCATACATCACTACCACCAGATGACATTGTTGTAGTATTTAATGCGATATTGATTGATCCTTGTTGACTTTGAACTTTATAGAAATGAATAATGTCGATCATGCTGGCATAAGTTCCGGCCACCAATGCCACTAAAGATATGACAATAACCAATATGTTTTTCCAGAAGACAAACCTGCTATTAGTTTCTCGTTTGGGATTACTATCATCGGCCCAGAATGTAATAATATGTATGACAGCTGGACAGAAGAGACCTAGAATGGAGAAAAATATTGAACCGATGAGAGAAATGAAAGGTGACAACTCTGGTACGAGGGCTGCTATAAGAACTGTAATGGAAAAAAATAATATGTTAATGCTTAGTTGTTAATGCGCGTGTGTGAATTAAACTTACCCGTTCCGAGAATCATCAATCCTCGCATAGTGTAATAGTCGAGTTCCATTGAAGGTTGGGAAATAACTGGAAGATCACAAATTGCTGAGGGAATGCCTTTGCGTTTGCGTTGCAACTCCCGGCGTCGGCGTAAAACAGGCTCTATACGTTTCCACATAATTTCTGATGGTACGCAAAATTGTAACCCATAACTGAATAAGATAGAGAGTGCTACCATGATTTTTACTAGTTCGGCAAATCTAAAAATACAAAAAAAAAATCATTAAATACTGGAAGATTTAAATACTTGTACGTGTTTAATTATCAAAATTATGTCTGAGAAACTTACATATCCTCAGGCAAGTTGAGCGTGATGCTACCCAATGTTGCTGGTCCAAATCTCAAATAACCTAAAAATCCTGCCATAGTGTATAAGGCTACGACTAACACCATTGAGCTATTTAAGACACCAAATTTTTGTAGAAAACGTTGAGGGTTCTTCATTGAATTTTCAATAGGTAGTACCTATTGAAAAGTACAACATTACTATATGTTTATTTTGTTTTATTGTTTATAGTAATTTAGTTTATTTAAGACTAAAATTCCATTTAAATTCAACTACTACAATTTTTACTTACAGTACCAATGCCTTCCATGGCAAAAAGAACAGTTGAAAAGAAAAGTGGCATGTGAGCTAATGGTGCTATCCACGGTCGTGAATCGATAGAAGGTAATGGTTCTGGAGCAATATAATTGTTGGAAGACTTATAATCCTTTGAAGTAATAAAACTTTCTCCGGCCACTACAAAGTACATTGTGCTTGATAATCCCACCATTATAAAAGTAGTAGCTATTGCCGAAAAAGGCACTAGAACTTTCATCGTCCTGATAAGGCCCAGTGGAACTAATGGCAATGCTAGCATTAAAATCCATACTTGAATTGGCCAATGATACTCTGCATTTACGTGATTATCAAATACCTAAAATATAATGATACATTTTATTTAAAAATTATATAAAAATCAATATAATTATATAAAATATCTATAAAAACAATATGAATAATAAAAATGTTAATTGAATTAATAAAATTAATTTTTATTGTACACTGTACTCTAATGTTGTTTAAATTCAAACTTGATGAATGAAATTGATGAATTGTTTAATTTTCGTATTACGAGTAAATTTAATGCTTACTTAATAATATCTTTGTACAAATATAATTAAATTAGGTTAATACCTATAATTATGTTACCTTTTGTGTACATTACGCTAATAAAAGTAGTTATCACCGCAGGGTTAATGGTTATCTGTTTTAGTAATTTAGTTGTATTAAAGACGAAACTTTAAATTATGATTGAATAACAGTTGCAAAAATATTAATAAATACGAATATAGCAATTGCGATTTTTTTTAACTTACAGATTTTAAATGAAATTAATAAAAACAAAAACATTTTACTTTTAAGCAAAATATTATGGATAAAAGAAACTAAGGGTTTAAGTTAAAATTATGAGTTTGATTTTATGCCAAGAATAATTTAAGGAATGTATTTAAATAATTTTATTTCAAAACGTATGTACTTATATTGCTTATTACTGTAATAATATTTACAAATGAATAAATTGAGTGACCTTAGATGATATTTTTTATTTTAAATTACACAAGTTAATAGATACAATTATAACAAGGTCTTTTACATAGGTAAATTCTATGGACATATACACAGTAAGTAAAATTACTTAAACCAAAAGATAAATTACTGAGTATAATAAAAAAAAATTAGATCAGGCAGTTGATAAAATAGTATGGAATGTGGAATTTATAAAAACTTGATTTATGTATTTTTAATTAACTAAATCAAGGAACCATGAAATTTAATGTATTTTGTGGAATAACTCCTAAAATTAAGGAAATTGACAGTAGTAAAAGTAGAATGTCTTCAAAATAGCAATCTTAAAGTTTTATGATTGTATAACAGGTTTTTAGTTTGAGATACTATACTCTTAACAGACTAGTTAATTGTTATTAATAATATACAATANTTTTATGATTGTATAACAGGTTTTTAGTTTGAGATACTATACTCTTAACAGACTAGTTAATTGTTATTAATTTTGATTATTTATATTACTTGTTTGAAAGATGTAGCTACAAACACAACGTAGACTGTGTTGCCAAAATAATATGTAGCAAATAGGGCGGCATTAACAAACTCTCTGATAAAAAACAAAAAAAAAAATAATAATCTATTAAATTATATACATTATAGTTGAAATACTTATATTTTATTTTAATTATACTCTAAGAACATAATTAATAATTGTGTAAAGAAGTTTAAAATAATTGTTTGGAATATTTTTAAAATATCAAACAAGTATTTTTAAGCTTTTTATTTTTATCTTTAAATTGAAGAATCAAAAAATCTCATGCTGTAATTATTATTTCCTGAACCAAATAGCCTTGAATAAAGTAAATTATCCATTAATTAAATTTATAATGTATATTTTTTTTACAATTGTATAAAGTTATAATATAATAAACATTTTTCTACAAATTGATACACAGTTTATTCAATTTTAAAATAATAAATAAAAATCACACTTTTTATTATGAATATTAGCAATTCAGCAATATTATAGCCGGCACCATGTATAGGTTGCTGATATAGCACATAAAAAATGTATCATCTATGTTTATTTAATTCAAGGCGAAGAATGATGTACTCAATAGATTAATGATTTTACATAATAAATAATTTATCAAATTAAGAACTACGGATTAAAAATTATATTCAAATAAGTAAAGATACAATTTTGCTGCGTATTGTGAAAACTAGTTGTTCACAAAACTATAGTGTTAAGCCACGCCTTCCGCTGTAGGTAAACGGATGGGTGACCATACATGCGCTTTTACGGTAGCAAAAAATCACCATAATCCCAATGTAAAAGTCAATGAGAAACCATTTTAATAATGAATTTCCCAGAATATACCAATCCAATGATTGTAAAAAAAAACTATTTTGATGAGTTATTTCGTAATAAATATTTTACTTTCATAACATTTACCTATAACACATTTTTTCTTACTAATATTTGTTAATTTTTTTTAATAACATTTTTCTAACTATGCAATAACAATTATTACTATTTTTTTTTATGAATTTCTCATTACAGACTTGCAAGACTTTATTTTTTTTCAATTGATAAAATGTTTCGTGACGAAGTAATATAACTGTTATTATAACAACTATCATTCATCTTAAATTTATAATAACTTAATGGGCTTTAATGTATGTTATTTAACACTCTTTCTTTTTATTTTTAAGATATTTAAAAAAATTGTAGGTAATTACCTAGCAAATGGAGCCCACGCTCTGAATTTTTTTGGTCCTGTTTCAAATGCAACTGCAGCTGTTTCAGCAAATCCTAATGAAGGTTTTTTAATTCTTTTGGCCAGAATTTGGGAACATATAACCTTTAATTTAAAAAAATTATAATTTACTTTAATTCATTACACTCTAATTTGTTTTTACTTACAAGTAAGTAAATACAGTGAGTGCACAAGGCACCAATAGCAATAGTTCCAAAGAGACCGAATATTAATCCAGAGTTTTTGAACGCGCTGGGCATAGCCAATATACCTGATCCCAAGCTACTCTTAATTAAATGTAACAATGCTCCAGAGTCACTATAAAAAGTTTACAGATATTTAATTACTGTAAAAATATAATATATATTTTTTTCAATCGCTTACGTAGTAGCTTTAGATTTATCACGGTGTTCAAATGGATCATATTCGGTTTCATATGAGTTCCCTTTGGTGTTAGTTCCACTTGTAACTGGTATACCCATAGTTGATGCTGATATTGTGAATGGGTGCTCGCCAATAGAGTCTTGTTCAGTTAGTTTAGTACTATAATTTATTTTAATTAAAAAGTGTTTACAATTGTTTTTTTGATAAATTTGGAAAAAAATTAATAAATAATTAGAAATTATTCACCGAATGTAATTAAATAGAAATTTGGTGCGATATGAATGTACAGTAGGTCATCAATGGCCGTACAGCTTAAAACTTAACCATACGGCAACTGATTTATCTATCATATTACACGGCCCTTTATAGTAAGCTAGATAGTTCTAGTATGTGTAACCCATTGGAAAATTACATATTTTTTTTTAACAATCAAAATTAGATAACGTTTTTTAACATAAGTACTTACGTTGAAGACCCGTTCATGAGGTTCGTCGACGGTGGAACGTAGTCTAATGAATACGATGAAACCGAACGCTTTTTGTAGTATTCGTTGTAAGCTGGTGGATTCTCCATTATTAGGCGTTTGTTGTGTTTTAATATTTTTATTTATTATCTATTCTAAAGTATAGTCGTTTATTCAAAATACCTAAATATATTTGAACAATAATAGTAAAGATACTAATACGGACGTGTCGAATTTTATTTATCCAGACAAGTGGTGTTTAAATTATACACCCTCTTCTTGTCACGGCAAACACTACTGGTTATGCCGGACAATTGTTATGGCAATTTTCCGGAATCGACTGTGACCATGAACAATGACAGGTCCTATAAAAAAATACACATGTTAAGATTATTAAAAAAAAATCACAATAGAAGACTTTGTTGTCAACGACGGGGCAATACGCCACACATATATAATTAGAAAACGAAATATAATAAAAAAAAAATATCATGGTAAATTCAATACATTCTCAGCTTCGCGTAGCAGCTAATAAATATTTAAAATTGACAAAATTAAGCAATGCAGGTATAAGACATAAACTATTAATAGATATCCTTCATGCTAAGTTTCTATTTTGGTTCTAGATAATAGATAATGAAGTAAAAAAAAAATAATAAAAAATTAGTATAACACCCTCAGAATATATAATAATAACGTTTTTTTTTTTTTTACAAAAAAATCCTATTATTTTCCTAAATAATGTACTATCTTAAAAAAAATATATATAAATATGAGTATAATTACTGTGAACAAATTTTAATTCAAGATAAATTTATGTCCCATGAAAGCTCAATAAATTATTTTTATGTCGAGTATCATAAATATAGCAAATGAAACTATAAATTGTTCGTTAATTCATTATAGCTATTGAATATATTAAATTAATAATTAATGGAGAATAAAAAATAGTTTAAACTTAAATATGCAAGTATAAAATAAATGTATTCTAAAAACGCATGATAAATAAACAAATAATGATAATAGTAAAAATAATTATACATAAAATAATAAAACTCTAAATTCTATTTCATTTTGTAAAAGAAAATTTTGACTAATAATTATTTGACTCTATGTATTATTACTTGTTTTATTTTATATTTTAGTACAAATTCTAAATAATAAACATTAAATTATTTTGGGAGTTCATAAAAATTTTAATTAATAAATTGAAATTCATTTATTTGAATAAATATCTTTCTTTTTGTTTTTGCATTGAAGTGATAAATTATAGTTTATCGTTAACTTATAAGTAAAAAGTATTCAAAGAAACAATGTCAGAACCTTTGACATATTTTTACTGAATATGGATTCAAGTTTAATTTTATTATAATTAGTGAGAACATTTAATAACAATTATAATGTCGTCAAAATGCATTTATCGTGCTAGAATTTATTTAATTAATTAATTGGTGAGTATTTGGTTTTCATGTATTTAAAAACTTAAATTGATTGCTGTGATATCGACATTCAGATGTAATTTCATAACAAAATATTTATATTGAAATCGCACTACAGAAATAATTTTTAGTACGTTACTTAACATTTAAGTAAAAATTAGTAAAAACTTTTAAAAAAAACTAACCACTCCTGCTGAAGCATTTCCACTTTTATTATCAAGTTTAATTCATTAAATTCATGTAACCTTTTATTTAAACTTTATTAATAACAGAATTAAAAAAAAATTTAATGGCCCTGAGTGTTCACGACTAGAACATTCAACGTCAACTAATCAAATGCATTTAACGTTACTGAACCATATGACATAGAAATATATCACTCTATGGGAGGTTCCTATTTTAAATCCCCCGTTGTAAATTCAGTGAAACCAACTCCTCAGAATAATCAGGTATTTTATACAGGGAGACAAAAAGTGCTCACATATTTGTAGTGGATTTGTGAATTTTTATCGACCACGCGAAAAAAGATAATGAAAATAATTGTCTTTATCCTACGACATTATATCATCGCCAACTCTTGAGAAAAACCCATTTCACGAACTTATTGATATAATTTCCAGTCACGAGAGTAGTACACGTGATTGAGGTACCTCAAGATTTCCTGATTTACGCGTTCATCATGATGACTTAATTATAACAAATATACAAATTTGAGTGTATGTATTATAATATTTTAATACATATATTTGCTGCACATTGAAATTCGTATCAATCGGAAGATAAAGGTTAAAATTCAATGTAAGTTTCTATTTCACTCGATTACCGTAAACATAAAAAAACATTCATGGTTAACGTTAATGAGCACAATTTCTATGCACTTGAAGTTAATTTTATTATCGAGGAAGTATCATCTTTTTTCGCAGTAAATCATTAGTTATATTTTAATATAACGTGTCTTCGGACCGTAAAAGATAATAACATAATAATCAGCTTGTCTTTAATTTTTACGCTGTTTAAAATAAAATTATACACATCAGAAAAGCTTTAAGGAAGTATAATAACTCTAACGCGTTTTATAGTGTCTGTATTCAACTATTAAATTCATACATTACAAAACGACGACCTATAAAAACACGAGAAGATGTATTATTATTATTAATATTAATATTATTATTATTCTATTACTACTCATAAGTATTATTTCATCATATTCTTATCAGTTATTATACACTTACAATTTTACAAGTGTTTAATAACTAATGATGAACTTTAGTTAAAAATAAATAATACCAAAACTCAATTGGTTGTAGCACATTTAAGTAAACGATATTTACACTAAATGGTTCACTACTAATTGTTTTAGTTACTTAATTAGCGTATAATATTGTTAAGAAAAGTACCGACACTATAAAGACATGCATGTCTGTTACTACGCAATTTTTTTAATCTTTTTGGTAAATTATTTTTCTATTATCACATAATACCAATTTTTTTGTAATCTTCAAATGTGATTCAATGCAACTGCTCAGTTGCTGTTGTTGAATCTAACCTCAATTTAGCCATCACTGGTTTTATTGTGCTCTATTAGACTCAGCTTAACCAGTGACCTTTTTAAATTTATAAATACTCTTGTTATAATTGTTTCCCTTAAAGGTATATATACCTACTTTAGCATGTGCATAATAATCGTCAATTTATTTATAAGTGTCAAGTATGTTCTTGTGTAAGACCCAAGCAAATAATTATATAAATAAAAAAAACGATATGTTATATAGCAAAAATAATATTAATAATGTATTAATCAGTACCGAATTGTTAAACTGTAAATATCGCCTCATGTTTAAATTTTTTTATAATTGTAACATTCGACTTATTCCAAATTTAAATTTAAAATTAAATTATGAATAAATTCACAAAAAAAATGTGTATACCAAAATAAAATAAAAAGTATGAATACTTTTAGCCACTGTAAAACGGGTTGCTATCGACCTTGATAAAAAATAATTGGTATGCATGTAAGGATGTTAACCCGGACACAAGTCTAGTCTAGATGACTAGATTTTGATACATAATATGTGTAGAAGTTTCTTTCTGGCAGGACTTCTGTGTTTTGTTTGAGTTGAGAATTAACTCCAGTCATTGTATGACATTTGACGTAATAATTAGTAATAAAAAAATCAGTGCGAATTCACTTAAGTAGCATGTATTTGATAGCATTGTTACCATTATAAGTGCTAAGCATATGAGTTTATATAACAATGTGGTATACGCTGCTCAATAAGCATATTCTTGTGGTTTACGGAGTTATTGTATATTATTTATTATTCCTAATTAATATAAGCCATGAGTATTGAAAGAATTATTTTTGAATTAACAATTGAGAAATTACATTGTTGAACAGTAGCTCAACCATTAAACTAATGTTGACCGTGAACTAATTTTTTATCTAATACTATATCCTATTTAAGTTTCATTAGAATATTTAGAAGATAATCCAATGATTTATGAAAACTTATGATGTCCAGATACAGAAATTTTTTTAGGTATGATGAAGTATAAAAACGTTCAAAAATTGTAATAGATTGGAAAGGAAGGTGTTAGGAAAAATATCCGTTTACGTCAAGAGCTACTAAGTCGTGTTTATACTATTTTCTTATTGTTCGATCTTCTTTTTTTTTATAGTACGTAACAACGACGATGTCAATTGAATAAACAATAAGTGACAAAAGCAATGATATCAACAACAACACCAATAACAATAATAATAAATCGATTGTGTTTTGGTTTTGGCTGACGAAGAGAAATTCATTAAATTACAAAGACCAAATAAGTAACATGCCAACAGTGTTCTCGAAATATATTAAAATTATAAATACAATTAAAAATACTTTGTCACTTCAGTCAGTAATTAACGAAATAAAAACAAGTTACACATTTAAATCAAAGTGAATCGCGCATGTACTAGTCCACATAAGCCGATGGTTAAATCATTCGGTAAACTTTTTGGAAAACTATTACTAGAGTTTAGAAAGATTTCATTATTATTACTATTTTTTTTTAAGACTTAATGATGTGATTCATACAGAAATAGACTCGTGGAATTCGCGTTTATGTTAAGTAATAATCATTAAGACAATGTTATGGATGACGTGTCGGTTGGCTATTATTCTTGTGGGTCAATTATCACAACTAAGTCTAAAAGACTGGACATGTGAGTTTGGCGGCTGCTCGTGGCCGGAAGAAAAGTTTTTACCTTGAACCGACGGTCAGCGAGGACACCTGCGGCGCAAGAGGAGAAAAATTCAGCACGATAATTTGCCAATGTTAATTTAACCGTTTATGATTTAAATTTATCTCTAGGCAGGTCTCACGATTTCTATAACTTCCTAGTGAAAACTCGCGAAATAAAATCAATAGTAATCATTAAGTCTAATGTACCTATTAGTGTCATTATGTGTACAAAAGTGATCAAATAGTGATCCAGATACATAAAAAAAATACAACCGGTTCGGGATTCTAACAGATACATAGCAATCGTCATTCAGTATGAAGTTGAGGGACACTAAATAATAACCTCGTTACATCAAAACGCTAGAATTTACCCGCCATCTCCGGTGTGCAGACTGCATAGGATAAAGGCCAAAAAGGTAATTGCAAAATAATTCATGGCCAGACATTGGGTGCGGCTGAATTATTTGATAACAAAATTGGTATCGCAAAAATTATTAAACTATTCTCGCGAATTTATATCTTTACATCACACAATAAGTAAAAACTTATGTGTACAAGATTTCAAAACATTTTATCACACGACCAAAAGTTTAAAATATTGAGTCACATTTATTAATATACTTTCGAAAACATCAAAGAAGATTCATTTGGAATTGTTTGTCGAACTGTAGGAAAAAAGTCTCAATTATGATTTGAATTGCACTTACAGATAGTAGATACTAATCTATTTGCACCTAAGTTAACAAGGTTTACAAACATTTTAAATTAATATACCACTCATAATTACACATTACATTGATGTTAATTGATTTAAATTTAAAAAACCTCATCAAGACTTTGTTGTATCAGATAGTAATTATTAGTGTTAAGCAATAATATTGATGCGGGGACAAATATTTGATACCGATATCGAAATTTCATTGTTCGATGTATCGTCACGTTAAAATTATCAAGATTCAATGTTTTTTTTGTAATTTTTAAAATTTTATTTCACTATTGCGAGATATAATATTGCCCTTTTGTTCAAAATATACGTATATGTAAACTAATACTTATGAATAATTCTTTTTTTAATTACTTGTATTAAATATTTACTAGCCTATTTTCTGAACGTTTAAAATGAAAGCTTGTGATAGTTGGCATTTTGAAGTTTTAAAAAATAGTGTTTCTTAAATAACGATATCGATAACAACAAAATACAAAAAATATCGATGTGATAAATTATGTCTTTGCCCATCACTAGTATTTATACAGGGTGTTCAGTAAGTTAGGAAACAGTTAAATTGTTACAAGCAATGAGTACAATAGAAATTCGTTTCCTTATTTACTGAACATCCTGTATAGCTATAACAGTACAAAATAATAACCGAATTTTCTAGGGGTACTGAATTATTGTAAGACCTGATTACCAATAGTCTATTGTAAATGTTTTTAATGAAAATTATATTATATTAGTGTAATTTTATACATACATTTTATCAGAAGATTTTATCATCTTTGAAAATATTTTACTTAGTTATGCTACAAAAATAATATAATGTTTGTCTAAGTGTCTTGATACTTTTATAGTGAGATGACATTTTAACCTGTTATTGGAACGAATCTTGAGATTAAGTTGAGGTTAAACGAGTTTCACAAGAATTCATTATTAGAAAGAAAACTGTCATTGATACATAAATATTTAAGGGTATAACTCTTGATCCTTCTTCTTAGAATCGCCAAAGAGTGTTAGCCATTTATAAAAGGTGTGAAATTATTTTTTTCAAATAGCAAGATTTATTGTAATATTTTTTTTATCTTTTAATCAAAATTCAATCATAACGTGTATATAAAAAAAATGAAAAGGTATCTTAAAAATATCCAGCTAAAAGTAACATTCACCCTATATTTCTTCTTCAAAATGTGTATCGTAAACCAACACTACATGAAATTAGTATAAATGTATAATCTATGCAAACTTTTGGAAATAAAAAACTAATATTTTATACTGCGTAATTAAGGAGCTATTGTTAAATAAATACTTAATATTTATAATGCGTTAAATAAGTAACATTATGAGATAACTATAATAACAACATTATGAGAAATATAAAGTTACACAAAAACTGATTAGACTGTAATAGTTAGTTAATAGTGTCAGACCGAGGTAAATACTATGTTGTTTACCCTGCACCCAATGGTATATTACCTATCTCTTAATAATAACTATTGCACAACATTAATTAAACACTAATTATTCCAAGGGAAATTTTATTCAACGATAATTAAAAGTTATAATTGAATTTCTGAAGTTAAAATTGTATAAAAATAAAAATACATTTCAATAAAATATTCATTAGGAAACATAAAATGTTTCTCAATAGTTCATCAGGTTGAGTGCGTTGTTTACAAATATACAAAAAGTCGACTATTTTGAAAGCCTATTAATTGCACAAAATGTTTTTCTGCCTATCCAAGTTTTGTGAAGGCAAACATCTGGACAAACGTTGCCTTAGTGAAATTTTTCTTCGGCAGTTTGAGTTCAAAGATATTAATAACGATGATCGCAACAACTTAAAATGTTAAATTCAAACCACTTTTATGAAGAAAAGATACTATATTTTTATCAATACCAGTGCCGCCGGCTTAGTTTAATCACTTCAGTTTTGTGTTGCGACACAAGTGGCCCGAAAAAAGAAGTGTAACGCAATAAAAACAAAAATCTTGAAAATAACATGTATACCAATAAGAAAAATGTTATTGAACGGTGCACGAGCAAACAAGTATATATTTTATTATTAAATAGAATATTTTGTTTAGCTACTGAATCCCAGATCAAAGATTTCAAGATAATGTATTGAGGTAATCGGTAAGTAGGCCTATCAACACAACAGTCGTCCTACACGACCAACGCGTGTCCTTACCTTTACATTTGTACGGAACTTAAATCTTTTGATTAGTTCCAACTTCATTATAATAGCAATACTATGTCAATTGTCAATGACTTTATACGGTAATAGTGGTAATGATCATTAGCGTCGATTGACTGTGAAAAAATTAAAGAAATAAATATAAAAATCAGCGCCTCCGGCACAAGTCGGCGACACATTTGCTTTACAATGTATACTTAACTACTTGACCCCGTACGGCCGGCGTCCTCACAACTGATTCATTTCAAAAGTGTCTAGGATAACTTTTTACAGAATTTAACAGGCATCCTGTTAAGGAATTATTTTTTGCATGTTATCCCGTTTTGAGGAACTCAATATCAAAAGCAATTGCAAAGTGTATGGTATAAGGGTGTTATTTATTCTATTAATTTAATTAATAATGTAATAATTAACACGAACTCACTAATAAAGACGTTCGAGTGCGATTCTTATTACAGTAGATGTCAGGTGTGAGTCGTGTACTTTCGAAAAATTTTTAACAGCTGCGCAATCTTCATGTAAATCACAACACACTGGTGATTATTATAATAACACAGCTTGATTCGAAGACATAATAAGTCGAAAGCAAAATTAGATAAAGCAAACATAATTAATGTGATTACCTATAGTAATCAAATATTCAGAATCATTGCACTTATGCTAATTGAGCAACATCTAGACCCTATTTTACAAAAATTACACATCGAAATATTTAAATTATATTTTACAAAACTAAATTGATTATTGCGATTGTGAATATTTGATCCTAATATATTATTAGATTACAGAACAGTTCATGTACTCTTAGCCATCGTGTCTTTGAGTATTAATATATTGATTAATTAATGATAATTTCTAAACAAATCAATCAATAATTAAAAATGACGTGTCACGTTGATAAAAATTGAAAATCATGAAAGATTTCACTTAATATTATACAAAAAACAAACGGTAATACCTTTGTCATTAATTTACAATTTATCAAAAATTATTGCGTTGCTAAAAAATGAAAAAGGCATTGAACCATCTAAAAACATTTTATTATTATAGTTAATACTTTTTAAATTGTTTTAACTAATTTCTTCTGTAAGTTGTTTTCCATAATACAATGATGTAATTTGACTAAAATAGAGTAAACGTCAAGCATCGTTTAAAAGTGTTAAAATAAATCTAGGAAATAAAAAATGTCTTCTAGTAGACAACTGACCTTTACATGGTACAAGTCAAAATCGTAACAAATGTTTGAGGTCAGAAGCATAAATTCTGCATGGCTTACAACAATACAATGTAATCATCAGTAATATTATTTTAGTGTGACGATTTACGCACATCAAAAATTAGTTGAAACAAAGTACCGTTTATGTATATTTTTTATCTTTTAATTCCATAAAATATTTATTATACGACAGATAAAAATTTCTTAAACTCTTTTGTATACTTTCAATATAAAATCTTATCAACTGTATCATTTACAAGTTTGTATCGACAATTCTTACATGAAACTTTTAATCGCCTATTATTTTGTATACGAATGGAGCATGCCAATCATACGTGAAATATTCTAGTTTTCAAATGAACAAATAATTACTGGTTCTCTTATGACAATGAAGTGATTACAAAGACAAAAAATTACAAACATACCAACGTGCTTTGCCATCACATTTATGTCGATAGATACAAAGGATTTACAAAACAATTTCTTTTGCCCATTTTGCATAAAAATTTTTCTATCACTCTAAAAACCAAACCCAACCCAACCATAACAAAAAGTCTCGGTGATCTCTGACATGAAGTCACTCAAACTAACATAAGTGAAAAATGCGTTTTTTAAGATCTTGGTATTTTGGTATACACATACCAAAGGACAAAAATTTCCAGAAATTTCAATAACCCCATTAATACAAATTTCACTATTTATTTATCATATTCAAGTTTTCCATTAAATAATTAAAATTATTTTAATACTCATAAAATTTTAATAAATGTACTTCTACCCTGGCACAAAAACCTAAAGTAAATTTAATTACACGGTCAATTTCAAAGAAATGTCAACTTTTAATGTACGTATATAAAACTCAAATAATTTGCTATATTTATATGATTAAGTATTATTTAAACAGAAAGTATTGTTTCTAGAATATCCTTTTAAAAAATTTGGATTTGTCCTTTAGAAATTTAAAAGGAAAAAAAATATTCAGAAAAATTATAATATTTTTTAGCTCATAAAACTTATTAAATTTGTTCATCGTCTAATTTTTATAAATTTAAAATTTTCTTCAAGTTTTTATAAATAATGACAATTTTTTCATGTTATCATATGACTAAAAACGAAAGAATAACAACCTTATAATGATGTATTATTTATATGTCTAATAAATAACTGGGACTCAATTAAGTTCTGCTTATTATGTAAGTAGGGAATTTAATCGAATAACGATAAGAACAATAATATATATACATGATTAAGTTGAGGAATGCAATGAAAAAAATCATACCGAAGTATAAATTTAATATTTCTATTGAAAACGATAAGTATGAACACTCATATTTTTATATAGGTAGTAATAAGGATTTCTTAGTATTATTCATTTAAGGATCATTTTTTTCCCTCGACACACCCCTTAACGTACATCTCAAATAAAATCGATTCATTTTTACCTTTTTGTCTGAGAATGTGCTTCTGTTATACAAGACGTAAAATAAATTTCAGGAGGATGACACTAAGAGTTGGTGACAATGACTTCGGACGGCGGAAAAGTTGAATCGTTGTTGGGAGCCGACTCGATCGTATCCTTCGCGGCGAGTCAATGTGATTTCAACGGAACGTTTGCTAAGATAAGGGTCGGTTATCATAATCACTTGGACAACTGATCTAAACGAGACTCGAGAACTTGCGTGTGTGCTTAAACTACCAAAGTGGTACACTGTGTGTTGAGCGATTCGCAAACGCGTTTTACCATGCGCCGTTACAATGACGACTGGTTTATAAAACGCCAAGCTGACTGCGGCGTGTCGCTTCATCTGATCGGATGGCGGCAGTGGAAACTCGTGTAAACCGGGGAAGGGGAACACGGGGTTTAGCTGGTGAACTTAATCTTCATAGAGAAAGAGAGGTCAAAGAGGGATAATTAGCGCATTATTCGCTTGTGTATACTATAATTAAATAATTGGTAGGTACCGAAGAATAACAATTATTAAAAGCTAAAATATGTGCCATACAGGTAAGTTACACAATGAGCCGCTCGTCGGGGTCACAGAAAATGCTTGGCGGGCGGCTACTAAAAGTGCAAGGTGACCATCAAATGTGCCCACTGCTTAAATATTTTAATTGCATTAAATTACAGCCAGGATGACAGTGGCCATCGGTCATCACCCTTAGTCGTCAGATAGTAAGTTGGCAGTGGGGTACAATAAAAAATTTTTCGGTCGGTATTACATTGGTTATATTTTTATGATATAATCGAGTTGAGCCGGGTGGTTTGTCCATAAAATCGCCTGCACGATCTGCATGACATTGAATTCGCCGTCGCTGATTGATTATTAATACGATTGTATTTGCAAACCTTGACTCTCTCTATCCTCTCAATTTCTATGTGCTTAACATAATAATGTTCATATTAATATAAATGACAAAATATCAACCGGTAACCTTTACGCGGCTTGACGTTATTGTAGTATTTATCATAGGTAGTAGTCGCAAAAGGAAATTTCACTCTGTTGAGAATATTGTATTGTATAAGAACTAAATCCATCTATCTATCAAACTGTCCAAAATTTATAAGTAATAATAAACAAACATGTACCCACTGACAAAGCTTGAAAGACGTGCGTCCTTGGCCTGTGTGGTCAACTATTGTGTACTCAAAATTGTTGTTGTTTTCAAATTGCTCTAAACTCATTAAATTTTTAATTTTTTTATTTTTGTTCAAGTACAATCGTAATATTCCGTTTTTCAAATGGGTTTTTTTTTCTCAGTATATATTTGATATTCATCAGTATTACACATAAAAAGCAATGAAAATCGACAGTCAACGATGCACGAAAACCACAATTGGTCATCGAGACTAACTTAACGGACGAGATCTTTTATTTGCTCCATTTTGTTAGATTTGCGTATTACGTGACGTTTTTTCGGTGTTCATTATACTTTAAATCGTCGTATTGTAAAAAACACCTTAACCATTTAATAAATAGTACGCTATAGTGTAAACTTAAAAAATATCGAGTGATTATTATTAGAACTTAGCACCAATTATATACGTACTTACTATTCACAGGCTGGCCTAACAAAATGACGTTTTACTATTATTATACACGCTGGTTATTAGCAACGGCAACCAAGCAATAATAATAGAAGGGAAATGTTTATTATTATTATTATAATGATCATATGTGACGACCTTGTGACATTCCCTGGTCAGTGTTTCACGTAGAAAGCTTCAGTAGAGCTTTGTGTGGTTGTGCACGAGACTGTGAACGCTTCAGTAAACGGATTTTTTTCCATCGTAAACGGGTCAGTAGAGGAAAAAATTTACCGAAGGTAACAATAACATCGAAGATTAAATTCTAATCATTATAATTGCGGTCTAAATTAAATTTTTTTTTACCGGAAACATATTCAGCAAATTTCCAATAATCAGACTGACGCTTTGCTACACTGATTGGCCTCTGAGCTCCCTCTCACACTACACTTTGTCATTAACCTTAACCTCTAGTTACTTGATCAAACCAAAAGCCAAAGCACGGCCTTGATCGGCTAACCGATCGATCGATGACTGTAAAACCACGACAACTGCCATGACTGTATCAGCCTTGATAGGTTGAACTGGAGGATTGGATTCTCTTGTTTATTTTTTACCGTGTGAGTCTGTACATCATAATTATTTACGTTACTGTTAAATCCCAATAAGCTTCGATTGAATCGGTTGCACAGCGGAGATCTTGGATGGTCAAAGGCCAAGGAGTTCCACACGCTTAGTCATGTACGTTTATCTATATCACTCCTCTTTAGGCCGATAGGCACGATGATCCGTATAAACTTTACAGGGCCTTAGTGGAAAAGTCCTCGACCCTTCCTATTTACTAGATTGACCCCAGTAAGTTATATTACAACCGGCGATATATAAATATTTAGACGATTATTTATAGATGTATTTTCACATGATCCATGACGCCGACAAGTCTTCTAACTTCTCGACGATACCGACCTCGGTACATAGACAAACTGTTACGCCCACTTAAACTACTTAAGTCGATATAAAAAAAAAAACACGGCCATTACGGGAAGTGTAGTAATTGACAAATTTAATTTAAACCTGATAATTAACTTTTATTATATAGATTAGGGTAATGATATGCATTGTAGAAAGAACAAATTGATCTGTTTTTACGTCAAGGTAATAACTGTACTGAAACCCTATTTTAGCCGACACATGTTCTGATATGCAGATGATGATTTTTAAAAAAACATTTAGAGCAATAATTACAAATACACAATGATATAACAAAATATTATTTACTGAAAGTTTACATAAGTTTGTTTTACGGTCCCTAATTTTAACTGCGGTAGACGATAATTTACTAAAGTTACTCTGTTGAATATAGAAAAAAAAATTACTTATAATGAATGAATAACATATTAGTATAAAGATCTCTACAAACTGGTTGTCTTCTATAAGAATTTTTAGCTTAAGCGGAAGTATCAAATAAACAAATAATTTTTTATAAAATTTGAAAAATCTAATTTTGAAGGAGAGCAACTTAAAGCAATCATGAATCATGAACATAATTTTTGTAAATTTTTTACAGGTGTCACCCGCCAACACAACACGACTACCTTTTTATTGTATAATCGTTTACTTGTTCCGTAAATAAGGTTTGGTTAGTTTTTAAAAAATCCAAATTTAAAATTTTTTTATTTATTATTAGACTCTAGGTCTTATTTTAATAACTTTATATAGAAATTAACATTAATTTATACTCATTCCTGTATCATAAACTGTACCTAAATTAAATTTGATACAGTTAAGACTAGTGCCACAGGCTAGCTCACAGTAAGTTACATAACTTTAAATAAAAAAAAAATATATAGCAAAATTTATATTATATTATTATTTTTTTTATTGAAAATGTCATAAATCAATATCGCAAAACATATTGAATAATTTTTTTTTATTGATAGACAAAGCTTAAAACCATTTACCAACAATTAAACAATACTTTTAAATATTTACAAAAGTATAGATTTTACATTGAATAAATAAAAATGTATGTACAGTTGTGTTTTATTAATTAGATTACATGTAGTTAAAAAATGTATTATAATATTTTATAGAATAACCTTAATTCAATAATTCAATCATTTTGCGTAAATGATGCGAGTTAAAAAAATTAATGAAGTCAAAATCAGATTAAGTTCCCAAAGAAATCATTTTTGATTCCTATATAGTTATTTATTAGCTTACAAAGTGTAGGGTCTACAATATAGATACTAATAATAATAAATAGAAATTAGAGTAAGGCCAAAAAAGTTGAGACCTGTTTAAAATAATAACAGTTATCATTATACATAAAAGAAAATGAAAGTTTTAAAAAATGTTCATTGTTTGATGCATTCCAAATAATTTGGTTTGATTATCATCTGTGTTTACATACATATTTATGCTTTAGTTTATTCCTACATAGTATATATCTTAATTTATCTATTCATTTAATACTACAAACATACTTGAATATATGCACGCATTATGCAGCGGACAACATAAGTTATAAAATAATTCTATTATATTTCACAACTTTGGCGTTTTTCCATTATATTTTGATTTATGTAATCGTCTAAGATCAATAGTAGTCAACTATAAATAATAATTATCCCAACCCACCGTTAACAAATGCTAGTAAATTTTACATAAAATTAAGATAGAAACTTCAACAGTCCTTTTTTATTCAAAATTCAATTAATTTAATTTATTTTGTTCTGTTAAAATATTATATGATGTACATTTACTTATCACTAATATGCATAATTATCTTAATAAAATTTTATAATAATATGATTACGTTATACATTTAATTAGCATATTATTGCGTATACGACGAGTCTTGGCGACATAACGAATATTCATAAAGAAAAAACCAAAAGTAAAGGATTGGAATTTGTGCAGCAGTTAAAATAATAATTGTGTAACCTTTACACATACTTTTTAAGCAACATGCTTCAGAAAACTGTAATCTTAAACATCTGTAAATACACTAAAGAAATAAAACACGATAAGGGTACATAACAAAACTGTTCATATTAAACCGTTGAGCTTTGCTCTGCAACATGTAAGCGGTTGAACTTGTACTTATTGAACTGCTGATCTTATGGACTGAGTTGACGGATTTGAGGACGGCTTAAATCCATAAGTGGGTAATAATTCACAGCGGGTACCTCGCTTCAAAATGTGAGGTACAGTTTTCGGCACCATACTGAAAAATCAAGTACATATATATATACATAAATTATTGAAGTTAATAAAATTTAATATATTATTAATAATTTAATATATCATATTAATGATGTGTATACGTTGAACTCTCAAGTACTCTAATTCGCATACCGATAATACAATTTGATGATAGAGCTTAGGTGGAATTTCTCAATGAGATAATATTTTATGAATATAACACATATAAAATAATATATATTGTAAAAAAGTGAAAACATAATAATTTATTGTTACAGATACGTAGTTTATGCTATGCCTATTTAACAAACTTATTTAGGTATTAAATGAAAAAATAATTTATTTTACATTAGCTGCATAAAAAAATATCGAAGTGAAAAATTCATTACTAAGTTAATTGCTAATCGAATATTGACTATATTGACAATTTTTTATTCAATTCACGATATCGTCAAATTCTATCGAAGCCATTGACTTCAATGTGAGATACTCAGTTATTATGAGAATCGTTTTTTAAGTTAATCTTTATAAACTCTTTTTTTATAATATATGTTTAGTATTTAAATTTTTAAATTAAATATTTAAGTACCTGATACAACCTGGTATAGGACAAACAGAATAGCATAACGTGCATCCTGTACAATCATCAGGGTGAACACGAACAACGTGAGTTCGAGGATTCATTTCAATAGCTTGATATCCAGAATCATTGCATGCCATATAGCACTTACCACAGTTTATACAAGAATCCTAATTAAATATGAACAAATTAAAAATAAATTAACATATGAATAAAAAAAGTTGAAACCCTATTTAACTAAACTAACGTAATGCAATTTTATTTTGTTTGAATTTAGTAAAACGTTAGATAATTAAAATAAATATTTAAATGTAAGAAGAAACTGTTGATCGCTTGATTATAAAAAAATGATCTATTTATGTATTGTAAAATGACAATGAACAAAATATTTAATAGCATTTGTCACTCTTCCGAGAGTGTTTAAATATTTTGGAGCATTTCAATAAAAACGTTTGATGTCACCAAAGTTTTGCTATTTAAAATCTAAAATGTTTAACAAGCCCACCAAGACTAAGCATCTATTTAATTAATACATTAGTTAAAAATTACCTCATTAATGAGAGCAACAGTTTGTGCGGCATTGTCTAAATCGTTATAAGGTCCAATTGCAGGTATACTGTGTCCTATGAGACTTTTCACGGTAGGTGGAACTACATATTCATTATACTTTTCTGACTTTTTGACATCCAGTTGGCAAGAAGATTTAATCAATTCAGATTTTTTATTATTAATGGCATGGAGTAATCGTCTAGCTTTCAAATATGGTCCGAAATGTGGAAGAGACTACAAAAAACAATATTCATAATTAGCTGTTCAAAAAGTCACCGAAAAACTTACTATAGCTTCATCATCATCTTTACTGTCTTCAATTATGGTTTTATTAAATTCTTCGAGATCATCTTCAGGCAATTCCAACAATAGTTTTTTCAACTCATTTTTTTTTATGGATGTTTCAGGCACAATTGGTTTTCCTTTTTGTAATGATATAGGGATTGGAGGAGATTGACCTACCCATTCGCCTACATTTGATGATGGTGGGTTAGCTTGAAGATACAATAATGTTTTTAGTCCAGTGCAATAATCTTGAATTAATGTAAAATCTTGGTTTTGAACAGCACTGCATACCTTAAAACAATGATATGATAATTTTTTATTCATCTAAAATAATTACCCAAGTATAACTGAATGCAGTATAATTTATTAAACAATTTCGTCATTATTAACTTTGAAAACATTATGTAAGTACTTAAAATATATTTATAATTGATCTAAATGTTGTACAATCATAACAATAAATGTAACCAGTGTAAACAAATTCAAGAGTATTTTTCAATTTAACAATTCAAACTAATGACCTTATTTCATAATTATTGTTATGTACTGTCACTTTTTTACGAATGGTTATTGCGTTAGTGCGTTTTTCTTTCATAATAAACATATTGCATTCAATTTTGTCTATCGCCCCTGAGTCCAGTCATTGCCTTATTTCATTTCGATTGCAATAAACCTTGACTTTTATTATTCACTTACTTGCACGACGGCAGCTCCACAACGTATATACTGCAGAGCGGCTTCGGCACTATCTACGCCACCAGTGGCCATTATAGCTAGTCCTTCTGGTTCTGGTCCTAAAACTTTAGATATAGCTGAAACAGCTCTGAGTCCGATCGGCCGACAGGCGTTTCCGGACATACCACCGTAAGTAGTCTTGAAATTTAGAGTTTTGGTGTTCACAGAAGATTCATTGATATTTTTCTGGCCTACTCTTGGCCAAGGTAGACCTCTAGAGTCTAAAGACATCAAAGCAGACACAGTGTTGACTGCTGTCACACCATCAGCTCCACCACGTTTAGCAGCTTTGGCTATTTGCACTACGTCAGTAATGTTAGGTGTCAATTTCACAAATACAGGAATAGCTCGTTTAGCAGTTCCTTGTCCATTATCATTTTTATACTGTTGAGCAACCTTTTTTACCCATCGGGCAATGTTTTCAACTAAATCTGGATCCTAAATAATAACAAGCATATTAAAGTTTTTCAGCAATAAAAATCAAAACAAAGTAATTTCCTTAAAATTTTCTATGTGATAAATAATATAAAAAAATGTGATATAAAATTTCGTATCATATTTTTTATTTAAAAATATATGCACAATGTACATGTCTTAGTAATAACTAATTATGTAAAAACTTTTTTTCAATTATAATAAGAGGAATTCTTATTTTTATTTAATATTATTAACCAATGAAAAATTAAAAATGTTTTACAAATCGAATAGTAATTTAAAAAAATATAATTTGAAATAAATTATAATTAATTAAAAACCAAATGATAAATGATTGAATAAAACGAATTTTTATTGTTACATTAAGATTAATTACCTTACATCAACGCGGATAAAAATTGATAGATAATAATATTTATTTGATATTGTACTACTATCAGTAGATTCTGGGTATTAATTAAACATTTATGGACATCATAGGGTTTACATAACAATTTAAGTTATAAATGATCAATATACTTGAGGATAATACGTAGTAATAAAGAAATAATTTACAAACCTGACCACAAGCAAGACCCATACCCGCCTCTCCCATACCATGCGGACAGCTCAAGTTCAACTCTAATGCATCAGCACCAGCTTCGCAGGCTTTCCTCGACAAATCTGTCCAATCTTGTTCGATGAAAGCACACATGATACTTGCAACTAGTATCTAAATTAATACAATTCATAATAAAAACAGGAAAATAATTAAATATTATAAAAACATCTAGTTAAGTATTACATAATTAAGTATATCGTATTTCATTAGTAAAGTTTCCTTGGCATTTATTAATATTATATAGTTAGCATATGAAAATTATGATAATATTTTTGACGGGTTAAAATATAATAAATTGAAGACTTTTATATACCTTTTGAGGAAAGTCTCGTTTTAGCTCACGAATTGAATGTAGCCAATAGTCAGTAGTTTTTTCTGATATCAGTTCGATGTTAAGGAAAGCGTTTTGTTCAGGTCCATAACCTCCAGAGCTATTGGCCATTGATGATGAGCTAATTATACGAGGAGAAACATTTGTAACAATATCCTGAAAGTTAAATAATTCTTCAGTTAGAAACCATTTTATGGTATCAAATAAGGATTTATAGTAAAAATGATGATCGGGATTCGAAATTCAAGCATTTATAAAATTTATTTAGGTCTGTTCATCCTCACACCACCCCTAACTTATTTCCTAATCGATATACATAATTCTAAATTATTTTATTCTATTAATTTTTCTTAGAATATGTTTTAATATTGAGATATTTGAGATATAACTCTTTTTAGCTTCGATGCGAAGCTGAGAAGGTATTGGTTTTACTATGATGTGTTTTTTTTTTTTTTTTTGTGTGTCTGTTACCACTTTTTCTCAGCTCTCACCGAACGGATTTCTTTCAACGATACGTCAAAAGATCACAAATCGTATCTAGTCGAAGACATTACCCTTCAAAATTGAAAAAATTTCCCTCGTTCCCCGTAAATGGGGGAAACCTCCAAAAAAATTACAAATTTAAAAATCGCTAATTTTCGAAATTTTTTCAATTTTTTTTACTAAAAACTGCCGTAACTTTCTCAAAAATGAACATATCAATATAATTTTTTTTTTTTATAGATGCTTGATGTATTTACCTATCATTTGGTATATTTTTTTTGTAAATTTGACCCTTTTTCTGCCCACAGGGAGGGATTTAAAATGACAACTTTTTCACAAAAAATTAACTTTTTCAACTTAACTTTTGAAAATGTTCCGGAAGGTCTGACACTTTTATATATATCTTAAATTAAAGCTAATGTAATGTACTTTAATTTGAAAAAAAAAAATTTGACCTCTGGACTTGTCTTCATGGTGAAAACGGCTACCGAATGCAATTTTTGTGTGAAAATTTTCGATTTTATAATTTACATTTTTTACTTTAAAGTGCTATAACTTTTTAAAAAATGTATGGATCAATACAATTTTTTCATGAAAATTAGTATTTATATACATCTTTCATTGGATATACTTTTTTTTTAAATCAGACTATTTCCCTATATAT